GAAAAATTTCGAAGACGAAAGGTTGAGAAAATGATAATGACAAGTTCACACGTTGTTGTTTTTTTTTGAGTGTGTGTAAATGGAAAAAGTAAATCCGGAGTCAAAAAGACTTTTTTTTTCTTCAACGGAGCCGGCTTTTTTCAAAACCCCCCGAAAAAAAAAGGACAAAAAGGCTCGATTTCAGGTTCGGATTATGCTACCGTAAAGTTCCTTTGCGGCAAAGATAATCCTTCTTTTATGCTACTTGAGAATCCGCATCATCTTCATCTTCATCTTCTTCTTTTAAAAACTTTTTTTTTTTCTTTTTTCTTTCTTTCTTTTTTACCACCCTTAATTTTAAACCCTATGAAACTTTTCTTCATTTTATTGTCTTCCTTTTAAAAGTTGCGTGTTACGCACAAGGGTGCGATGGTGCGTATTCTTTTTTATAAAACGCCACCCCCGACGACGCCACCACCATCACCACCCCCGCCCCCACACGCTCTCCTCCTGCCATTGAACCGGAGAGAAAAAAAAAAAACTCGCAAGACTTTTTATTAAAAACTCACAACAACCGGTAATAATAAATCGAAAACAAACAAACAACGTTTTAATAATAATAATAATAATTTTTTATTATCGGTCACGACATTAAAACAACCGTACTACGACAGATTCAAATCTAAATTATTTGTCTTACTTACAAATTAAACAACAACAACCGGATGCAATGACAATAAACGTTTGCAAAAAAAAAAACATCGTCGTCGTCGTCGTTTGTCGTTTGTCGAATTATTTAAATAAAGAATTTAATCGCGGGTGGAAATCTTTTTAAACAAACGGTAAAAAAAAGGAAAGGAGGATAATATAAAAAGTCGATGTACGTACGTACGTGTTTGTACGGGAGTAAAAAAAAATTGATGTCGTGCTGTTTGTTGTATACCCGATCAAAACAAACTGATTTAAAACAAAAAACAAAATGGCTCCCGGGTTCAAATTATTATTATACAAACATTAAATGAAAATTGTTTTTAAAATACTTTAAAAAAAATTATTCACGATTTTTTTTATTCTTTCTCTCATTCATTCATTCATTCATTCATTCATTCACTCGTTCGCTCGTTTGTTTGTTCGTTTGCTACTTTCAAATTTTTTAAGATCGTAAAAAAAAAGGCAAGTGATTAGCAAAACTTTTCGAAAAATTTAAAAAAAAAAAAAAACAATAAAAGAAACGAAATTGTTTGTTTGTTGACGACGTGGTTTTTTAATGATAATAATAATAAATATATGTATATTTATGTAAATGTTGTACAAAATGGCGTCCGTGGCCCCGTGATAATATTAAAAAAATTACTAGCGAATGATTATTAATTTTTTGAAAATTCGTGATGTTACCATCGAGGATTCATATTTTGACTTAGAAAAGAGAGTGAAAAAAAGGAGGCCGAGGTTGGTAGTAAGAAGAAGAAGACGAAAAATTGTTAAAACAAAAGAACCGGTGGTAATGGCGGTGGTAAAATTTTTAAAAACCATTTTCGGTTAAACACTAACGGCCCACCTGTTCGACACCTTAGCCATACAAAATCAATTATTCTCATGTGGTTTGTTGTTGTTGTTGTCTTTAGGTGAAGAAAATTAAACAACATAATAATCATTTGAATAGTTAAAGTGGTTTTTAAAGAACCAACCTTAAACTATGAAAGGAAAAAAATTTTTAAAACGGAACAACAACAACAATCGAAAAAGAAAAACAAACGAAAAGTGTTAGTGTGAGAGAGGCGGCACTTCCGAAGAGGTTTTCAAAAAAAAAAAAGCCGAAAATATGAAAAAAAAAAAACAACAAAAAAACATTTTCAGCTGTGTTTATATTATGTTGACTTTGTTTTGAGTCTCTCCGACTCTTTATTTAAAATCATATCAGAAGCTAAAACCGACAAATGGAAAAAGGTAAACAAAAAACACAAACGACGGTGGATGAAACAACCAACAAAAAGTCAAAAAATCGCAGCCTCCTAAATGCTCTGGTAAACATTTTCTCATTATTCGAATTTTTTTTGTTTGTTTTATTTTAAAAACTGGAGAAAACATTCGACACCGAAAAACAAAAAAAAAAAACCCTTTGTTTGTTTTTCTCTAACAACAAACAAAACACCGGAATTATTCGAGAGAGAGAGAGAGAGAAAGAAAAAGAGAGAGATAATGTTTTGTTTTTATTTTTCTCATCGATTTTTTTAAAAAAAAATTTTCACGTTTATGTTTGATCGAATCGTGTTCGCGCGAATATCGACAAACGAACATAACAAAACATAACGAATGTTTTTAATGAAAACATTTTTTCAACCGTAAACTAAACCCTCGGTAATTCGGTAATGGAACCATAAAAACATCTTCCGATTCAGAAGAACATTGTGTTATGATGGCGTCTTAAAAACGAAAACGAGAGATGCAACTTTTTTTAAACGTCGTAATCGAGTTTTGTATCGACGTACCTTCTATCCCCCTCCCCTCCTCCTCTCCCCACACCCCCATCCTTGGTATCCTTACAACTTCTTCCGGTTCGAAATGATACATGACATTCTTTCTTTTTTTTTTTTTTTAAGATTTAAAATGTCCTGCTGATACCTTGACAGATATAATCGAATACTACTAAATCGAATAAATAATAATTTTTCTTCTCCGTCATCCCCCTCCCCTTCTCTCCTTTCAAATCAAACTCCCCCCCCCCCGGAAAAACTTACGAATTTAATTATCGGGTGAAGAGAAAAAAAAAAAAATGGCCGATTTCGATATTATTAATAAATTATTCGATTGCGAGAAAGGGTGTGGTTGTAACAAACAAACGAACGATGTGTTGTTTTTTTTTTTACACCGGGTATCTATCTATCTGTCTAGTTCCACGTCGTTTTTTTCCCTTAATATTTTCCCGTACGCGTTTTTGTCTTAATCAGAAAAGTGTCGGACGATTATCGTGTGTGTGGGCGTCGGCTTTTGATAACAAAAAAAAAAAAAAAACGATATCACTGAACGATTTTCGCACTTTTACCAACAAAACAAAAAAAAAAATTTTTTTTGTCTCGTACCACGAATGTAATAATAATAATAATAATAATTTCATATCGATTATCATTAAAGAGTGCGATAACCTCAAATCGTTATATTCTTAAACGATGACTCCAAACACAACAACAACAACAACAAACATACAAATTTAATTCTCCGGTTCGGAAGGTCAAAAGATTAACTTTTTTTAAATTTAATTATTTTTTTAACCGTTTATAATTTTTATTGTTGTTGTTGTTTGTTGTTTGTCGTCATCATAGCGTTTAGTTGTTAAGATCGAAACAAACATTAATAATATTTAAAAAAAAAAAAATTTTTTTACTCGCGAAAAAAATTTGTACGAAGACAAAATAAAAGAGAAAAGTATAAGTAAAGTGGCAGAAGAATTAATTTAAACGATTCCATAGAGGAAGAAAAACCAAAAAAAATGGACGACAAAAAAACAAAAAATAAATTTTTTTTCCCCATAAATATCAATATCGGTGTCAAATAATAAATTTAAAAAATAAAAGAGAGAGAAAGAGATAGATAGATAGATATCGTCAACGATTAATCGATCGCTTAATCAAACAAACGAACAACAACAAAAATTCCTTCTTCGGTTGTTCGGTTCTTAACGTCGTGTCACGAAAAATATGACAACGACAACAAGATGGAAGATTTATAAAAAAAAAAGAAGACAAATCGAATAATATGTCAGATGATTTTGTTTAACAAAAAAATGAGGCGCCTGATATATCTCGTTTGTTTGTTTGTTTGTTCGTTTGTTTTATATTTATTAAATATTCTTAATGTATTTATTGTTTGTTTCTTTGTTGCAAATCCGTGATGTTTTCAAATTTTTTTTTTTTTTTAAATTATACCATTGACACGATCTATAATTAAATATTAAAATTATTTAAACCTTATTCCGACCCTGATTGATATTTAATTTCATTTTTGTCCCACTTTAATTAAAACAAACGAACAAACAATATGTCAAAAAATTTAGAAAATCTTTTGTGTGCGAAACACAAAATGCGATTTTGTACGAAATGATAATAATAATAATAATAATAATAATAATAATAATAATAATAATAATAATAATAATAATAATAATAATAGTTAAAGCAGAAGATATTTTTTCATCGACGTCATCGATGACGTTTTCTTTTTCCAGAAATATTTTTAAAAACGGAAACGAATTTTTTTTTTTTTGTTGTTGTTCCCACGATCGAATACGGGTGTCCGGAGTTTAGTTTTTTCATTTCTTTCGATTCCAAAAAAACTTTTACAAGAAGATTAAATAATAATAATAATAATAATAATGATGATGATGATGATGATAATAAAGGCGATTTATCGCGAAGACAAAAAGTCGGCGTATCGTCCTTTGAAGATTTAAGATATCCTTGACGATACCTTTCGTTGTAAAAAACAACCCTTTATCTAACCCTAATCCTTTTTGTTTCTTTTAGTTGTGAACGACGTTTATCGTGGTGATCACAATGACCGGAAATGGTTGAAAGAAAAATGATTTCCGTTTGGAACGATTAGAAAAAAAAAAAAATGTACTTTTTCTTTTTTGGTCGCGATCAAAACGTTTATAAAAATAAAACGAAATTTATATTTAATAATATCCTCAAACAAAAAATATAATTTTTTTCAACGCCGGAAGTTTGTTTGTAAATTTATGAAAAAAAAACCGGAAATGAAAGAGAAAAAGATAAGAAAAAAAAGGTAGAGAGAGAGAGAGACTTACATGCACGGTAACTTTAAACGTTTGTACGATTGTCGTTTTTTTTTATGCAAAACATTTCCAAAAAAAAAAAAAAAAACGATGAAAAATTTTTAAAAAACAAACAAACAAACAAACAAACAGACAAACAAATTTTTGTTATGAAACGTAAAATAAAATAAAATAAAAAAATAAAATAAAAAAAATGAATTTACGAAGTTCATGAACGTACAGTACTTACAAATCCATGTTTATCTGATATATTATTTGTTAATTTTAGCTTGTGAAAAGAAACAACTTTTTGCATCCATTGTTCTCCAGTTGATGGCGAATCCGGATGAATGTACATTCTTTTTGGCATTTCCGGATCCGCTTTTCCAGCAACCATCCACCGGCTGTAACAAAAAAAAAAAAAAAATTTAATTAATTAATTTAAAATCCATTCGGAAACATTAAAATTAATTTTTTTTTCCCTCCCCCTTTTTTTTTCCTACCCATCCACCACCATCGTTATCAATTTAAACGCGAAGCGCAACCACTAACAAACAAACAAACAAACAAACAAACGTAATAAAATCACGTACGAAAAAAAAAAAATAATTTTTTTTTTATTTATGTAACGCGCGTGTGCGGCGGTTACGTAACCACGTAAAAAAAATTTTTTTTAAAAATAATGATAATGATAATTAATTTTTTTTTTTTTACGATTTCGATTTCAAAATCATTTCACGTCACTATTAATAATGATAATGATAATAATAATAATGATAAAATACCTGTTGTGAAATTTGTATCTATAATCATCGGCGGCGACGATGTCTAATAGTAGAATGTATTTGGCTTTGGCATCGAGACCCGAAACTCGAAATTTCATTTGCGGAAACATTTGCCTGGAAAAAAAAGGGGTATTAATTAACGCCATGAAACAACCATCGCATAATAATAATAATAATAATAATAATAATAAAGCCAACGGCCATAGCGTGCTGGTCACACCGGTTCCCGTACGATCACCGAAGTTAAGCAGCATCGGGCGTGGTGCAAACTTGGATGGGTGACCGTTTGAGAACGCCACGTGCTGTTGGCTTAAAAAGAGCAAAAAAAATGAGAACAAGACAAAGTAAGAACCAAAAACAAAATCTTGTTCTACTGTCGACCTGAGGCAGCTCGACGAGAACGTGAATTTCACTGCTTCTGACCCTGGCCACTCCAAAGATGTTAGTCACCGGAGCCCAGTTCAGGAGACAAATCGTTCCCATCGAAAAAAGACGGACTCAGGAAGACCTTCAAGAATTGATGTGGTGCTATCTTATAATAAGTGGCACCACCGAAATTCGAGTATTTGTCCCTAAGGATTCGGGTAGAAACCTCGGATAAATACTTAAAAATCCCGACAAGTAGCCTTGTCGTGTTTAATGGTGGATAATAATAATAATAATAATAAAAACCGTTAAACCCTTTCGTTAAAAAAAAAAGAAAAATTTAAAAAATCTTTATAGAAGAAAAAAAAAATTTTTTTAACGAAAATAAAAAAAATAAAAACGCGCGAAATATTATTATTATTAAGGAAAGCGGAATTATCAAAGTCCGCCGTATCGATATAAATTTATATATTTATAAAAAAAAAATGGTAATAAAAAAAAAAAAAGATGGATACACGTTTGCATCATTTTGAGAGAGAAAGAAAAAAAGAATCTGTTTTATGACAAAAAAAAAAAGAAGACACCTTAAATTAGGATTAGCGGCGATAATGAGATAGTTTTAACATTTTTTCTCATTCTAGAATTTCTTCTTATATATATATATATATATATGACAAAAATAAAAAGTGATAAATATATATAGATAATATATACGGTAAGAAAAAAGATGGAAAAACAACCAACAAACAATAAATACGAAGAAGAAGAATAAGAAGAAGAGAGAGAGAGGAGAGTCAAACGTGTTTTTTTTTTTTTTTTCAATGGTATAAATGAACCGTGAGCACACACACACATTAACCATCTGCTCTTTTTTTTTTGTTTAATAGTAGTAGGTAGTAACAGTAGTAGGACTACTACTACTACTACTACTACGATGCGAATAATATGTATATATAAAATTATTATTTAGACCCATATCTAAATAACAACCTTAAGTAAAGAACGTTTAACGAGGCGGTAGCAGATACATATTACATTTAGGGTACAGGATGTTTCAAAAAATAAAATTATTATTGTCTGATACGAAGTTAAAATTCTAAGATTTTTTACCTCTCTCTATTTATATTTTTTTTTTTTTTTTGTGATTTTTCATCGCGAAACGGCATTTTATCGTGTAAAAATAAAAGGATTGATTTTAATATTTATTAAATTTTTTAGTCTTAAAAGGCATTTTAACGCGTAAAAAAAAAAACGTTTGGGCTCAATTTTTCTGTTGATTACCCATTACGAAAAGGCATTTTAGCGCGTGAAAAAAGTTTCGAGACCAGTATTTATTAAATTTTTTGGCCGAAAAGGCTCATTTAACGCGTAGAAAAATCGGTCGGATTCAATTTTTTTTTTATTTTTATTCCTTCCTCGCAAAAAAGTATTTTAGCGCGTAAAAAAAAAACTTAAAGGCTCAATTTTTTTCTTGGTTTCTCATCGCGAAAAAAGCATTTAAACGCGTAGCAAAAAAAAAAAAAAAAATTTTTGTCGTTGAATTTAAAAAAATTTTTTTTTTTCGCAACAAAGGCAACTTATCACGTGATAAAAAATTTAAGTTTATTATTTTATGAATTTTTTATTTCTAAAAGGCATTTTAGAGCGTAAAAACAAAAAACGTTCGCATTCGATTTTGTCTTCTTTTTTTTTTTTATATATTATAATATTTAATTTTTTAATAAACATTTGAATTTTTTTTTTATTTATTTCTTCATCGTGAAAAGGCATTTTAGCGTGTAAAAAAACGTATGAATTCAATTTATTTGCCATCGTGAAAAGGCATTTTAACGCGTAGCAAAAAATAAAAATAAAAAAAAATTGTCGTTGAATTTAAAAAAAAATTTTTTTTTTTTTTTTTTTGAAACAAAGGCATAGTTAACGCGTAAAAAAAAATTTTAAGTTTATTATTATAAGTTTTTTTTTTTTTTTATATTTCCAAAAGGCATTTTAACGCGTAGTAAAAAAAATCATATATATTATTTGAATTTTTATTTATTTATTTTATGTGAAAAAAAGACATTTTTACGCGTAAAAAAAAACGTAATTTCGGATTTAATTTTTTTTTTTTTCGAAAACGTGAATAGGCATTTTAACGCGTAAAAATCTTTGATTTGTGTCGAATTTTTTTTTTTTCGTTTTTTTGTTTTATTAAATCGAACGTTTTGACGTCATGTTGTTCTTTAAAAAAACGTTTATATTATTTTTCTATTGAAAAAATCTTTTTTTTTTCGTTTTTTTTTTGGAATTTTTGATTTAAAAAAAAAAAAAAAGGGATTGAGAGGAAGAAGAAGAAGAAGAACATGATGATTGTTCCGTGAGGGCATGTGTTGTTGTTAGCGTTTTACGTTATTCTATAATAAAAAAAAAAGAAGGAAAATAGGTTATTTATTGTTGAAATATTTCACGTCATTATTATTATTTCTATTACCCACCCGGTATTTATATTAAGTGCGAAAACGACACCCTGTAAACCTAAAAAATAATCATTAACCATCGTTGTTGCATAAAAATAAAATTTTTTTGTGTTGTTAAAATAAGGGAGAGGGTGAAATACACTTTTTGTCACATACTGTTGCATAAGAGATACCGCTTAAATGGCTTCCACCAAAAAGGGGGATGAACCTAACAAGTTTTTTACCTTTTACTAAAATTCGTGAACACCTTTTTTCCTTTTTTTTTTTTACTTCTTGTTATGCATTGCGCACCTTAAAAATATGATCAAGATGGATTTAAAACGATTAAAAAAACCCTTTTACCTTAAGGGAGAGAGAGAGAAGGTAAAAAAAAAAGAAAAAAACGTGGCAGGAAACTGTCAATTTTTTTTTTAAAGTTTTAAATTATTAGGTTTTTTTAGGCTAATAAATTAAAATTACTTTTTTTTTTTTAAATGAAAATCTGACGTCTTTTTTCCACCATTTTTACAAAAAAAAATAAACGTTACGTAATCGTTTTACGCGTAAAAAAAAAAAACGCAAAAGTGCGTAAACCGCAAAAAAAGGAAAAAAAAAAGGAAAAATTATTACTCCTTGTTTGAGTTTTTTTCTTAAGTGGAGGGATAAAATTAAACTCCACTTAAAAATTTTCTCGTACACACACAAGAGCTAATAAAAGACTCTTCACTTCTTGCAACAGGCTAAAAGAAAATTTATGTCGAGCACACGCACACACAGCCCCCCATCCGTCGCCCCCCTTCACCACCCCCCAGCCCTCCTTTCTCTCTCTTTTTTTAGTATTTTCCTAACAAAAAAAAAAAAAAAATTTGCGAGACACGAATCACGATGAAAACATTTTTAAAACTTTTTACAAAAACATCAAACGCAGTTATAACAATAATAATAATAATACGTCACCGAATATGGGCGGCGAGTATTGGAGGAAGGAGGGTAGGGGGGAGGAGGAAAATTTCTACATGTCTCCTTTTTTTTTTTTAAAAGCGTGAAAATATGCAAGAGAGTTTTTTATTTGGAGAAAAGAAAAAAATTTCATTTTGGCCTAAAAACGTAAACGATTTGAATTTTTTAAAAATGGCGTCGGATAAAATGTTTTTTTTTTTTTATTAATAATTTTTGTCGGTAAAAATCAAATATAATTAACACCGAATGAATTACAATGAAGTAACAATAAACAAACAAACAAACAAACGTACAAACGAGAGGCCGAATTAAAAAATAAAGTAATAAATAAACGTTAACGACAAACATTTGACTTTAAATCCGCACCACTCGTTTCACTTTCAACGTCAAAAACAAATTCTTTTTTTTTTTTAAATATTAATTAATAATAATAATAATAATAATAATAATAATAATAATAATAATAATAATAAAAAAGGGAAAAGGTTTTCTGTCGAGAAAAAAGGTTTTTTAACCTTTCATTTATTTATTTATTTATTTAAATAAATAATAATAATAATTTTTTTAATTAATTTTTTTTTTTATTTTCGACCGGAAAAAAAATCTAATTAAAAAATTATAAGATGATTAAAATTTTTTATTAAAAATAATAACAATTATAATTCAACGTAAAAAAAAACGAATGAGTGTGCGTTTGTGTTGAGGACGTCGTTACAACAACATTTATATGAGATTTTTAGTACCTGATATGAAAACTATAGGTTTCATTTACTCTTTCTCTATCTGTCTCTCTCTCTCTCTCTCTACACACACATACCTTTTTAATATCCTATAATTTCTTTTTTTTTGTGTGTGTGTGTAATCGAGGGCTTTCTTTCTCTAAGTAGTATCGATCGATGAAAGATACCATAACGATTTTTAAAAAAATGATTCATAATAAAAACTCATTTTAGAAAAAAAAAAGTGAGAGAGAGATGGGAATATTTTCAAATGAATGAAATTCCAAAATGAAAAACAAATTAATGACGTCATTTAAACATAATTATTATTATTAAAACGGTTGAAAAAAATTTAAAGAATTTTTTTAACGTACTACGTCATATATGTGACGTCAAATTTTTTTATTTAAACGGGCGAAAAAAAAAAAAATTTTTTTTTTTGACGTGGCGGTAGAGTAAAGTAGAATTTTCATATCCGGACATTTATCCAATCGACGTGTCAATAATTAATATTGAAATATAAAATAAGAAATTTTGTTTGTTTGTACTTTTTTGTACGGGATTAAAGAGAGAGGGAGAGGGGAGAGAGGACGTTTGTTTTGGCAAAAAATAATAATTATATTTTATTATAACACCATTACGTTAAATAAAAATTTGTCCCGAAGCATTCTCACTCCCACTCCCCTTTTCCCTCCCCCGACTTTTAACTGGGAAATTTTTTTGTGGTCGTCTCCCCATTTAAAAAAAAAAAAAAAATTTTTTTTTTAGGGCGTT